GTTAAACCTGTCTAAAAAAGCACAGGTAACTTCATTTGCATGTTTGTTTTATTAGGCTCAAACCCTTGAGGGCACAAGACCCTGTTGTTGTACTAAAGATTATTATTATACTTTTTCAATCATTTGAGAGCATGTTTATCATTAACATGCTCAACAACAGGACGTGGGATATTTTGGTCTGAATGTGGATTCTGTGAATTTTTAACTACTCCTCCATCATACTCTTCACACCAAACATTGGAAATCTTATCTTTTTACTTTTGTCAATTAAATAAAAGTGAAAGAGAATTAACAAATCACAGATTCTTAATGTATTGCATTTCACAAAACATCCCAACCTTTTCTGATTTGCTGAAGTATATCAATGTATATCAATTGTATGTATATCAATCTTAAACGCTAAACATTCTTTCACACTGGTGAATTTACAAATAGATTTATCTTCATTTGCTTTGTTTGTATAATAGTGAATTATTCAAACATTGCCGTTTCTTTTGCTATACTGTAGATTATCTATTTATTTAGCATTTCAGAATACAGAGATGCAAACTCATCGTGGGCGAGAAAGCTGACAAAGACTACCTAGTTCTCATCACGTTTTGCTTTTGGACGTATTATAAACTAACTATTATAACAAAGTTCACTACTTTACTGCACTGAAGTATAAAGTTTAGCAAGTGTAAGAAATCTCAAAGCCTCATGTCGTTTAATAAATAAATAAATAAATAAATAAGACCAGACCCCAACTGCCTAGTAGGGTTAATTATTTAACTTTTTTAACTAGTTAACTACAAATGAAAATAGATTTAATTTAAAATCTCTAATTTTTTAGTACACGTCAAAAAGAGGCTTTGAGTTTGATCTTTAACTGTAGAAGCTGCTAAATATATTCAGCCAACACAGACTTGTTACTGCTGTAAGTTTATTCTGCATCACTTAATGCACAGCTTTATTCTGACATTGATTCGTCATGGTTTTGTTCCGGCCATTGCCACAGTTATCACTGACAATCATAGCAAAGACTTTCAGAACAGTTTAGCAGATTCACTCCTGCAACTACACTGTGAATGGATTACAGTGAGAAACTGAACAAAGGACACTCCCTTTATAGCACAACTGACCGAGATCACTCACGTGAAAACTCCTGATATAATCAATGACTAGCTACACACTGCACAATCAATCGCTTATTTACACGGTGCCTGTGCTTTTTGTTACAACAGGAGCATTTGTGAGTGTGTAGTATTCAGTAATCTTGTGAAATTTTACGAATCAGACAAATGGCCTATTTCTGGATTAAAAACAGCAAATTTTGCAAAAAACTTTAATGATACCCCTCACATATACTGACAGATTTTCAAATCAATTTGATACCGATTCACAGTCTCTGGATTGAATTCAGTATTCATTCATTTGAAAATATACAAAACAGTAGATGTACATTTTTCTTAAGGAAAAAGTGTTGAGATGACATTAGTTACAGAGAGACTAAACTGACCTGCTCGATGCGGCCTTTCCGTAGCTCCAACACGGCCAAGTTATTGTAAGCTTCACCATGGTTATTGTTAAAAGCCAAGGCCAGTTTAAAGCACTGGTACGCCAGAGTCAAGTCACCAATGCCCTGCGGAAGAGAGAGAGGGGAGAAAAGCCTGAAATGTCCATAATTTATTCCTTAATAACTTGGGTCATTACAGACTGACATTAAGATTTTTTCAAAACCAGCAGATGTACACAAATCTCAGAAAATCTACAATAAAATATATATTTTTTAAAAATCAGTCCTTACTCTTTTGCCATTAAAAGAACATGTTTTGCCACTTGTTTGCCAGCAGAGGTTATATGAGAAGCACACCTGGCTTTCCATGCTCCACTAATGTCTGGTTTGCAAAAAGACATTCTTTTAAGTGATATCAGTATGAATCTACCTCCTGTTTGGTCTGATTTAGTCTGACTGACCAAGTCTCTAAATAAAGAGTTTGTCACAGCAGTGAGGGACAGTGAGCGGCATGCTCTCTCTCATCTGCACACTGTTACACAGGTCACATTGGGTTCTGAGTGTCTGCTCACCACTGCAACATGCCCCAGATTATACCAGATATCAGCCTGTTCCTCATCACTGGACACCAGGGCTAAAGCTCTCTCAAAGGACGACAGGGTCATATCATACTGCTGGGCGTAGAAACAGCACAGGCCCAGATTGTTATACAGCTGGCAGTTGAAGACCCCCATCTGCAGCAAGCGCCTAAAAAAGGAGACAGAGGCTGAATTTACACAAGATACGATGCAGAGATCCACTGTTGACTGTCACTAAAGACTCAAATGACTGTTTTAGGGCTGCTAATAATAATTTTTTCTATTGTTAATATTTTTGATTGGTCGATTAAACCAACGATTAACATTTGAATTATGTGCCAACACAGTTATTGGACTGAAAAAGTTATTTCCCATTAACAATGATGAAGACACGTACTCTCAAGCCAGTCACAACTCTGAGTTTATGCTTATACTTCACATTTTCTTATGCTGCTTCAAATTTGCTTTTCAAACCGGAAGAACAAACCCCACCTTTTTCTTTAATCATAAACGCAATGAGTGTGTGACGAGAAGGGCGGGGCCGAGAGCCATGGGAACGGAGCGAGGCCGGTGGAGTAAATGCTAATGTACGACACCTGCGCCACTCACCGGTCTCGAGTCCCACACTGTCGTCACTCCTCCTTTTATCCTTCTGGAGCTCCTCTGTGGGACTCGGGACCGGTGAGTGGCGCAGGTGTCGTACATTAGCATTTACTCTACTGGCCCCGCCCCTCTCGTCACAGAGTGCTATCATTATTTTCAGTGATGTGCAACCTGTATATATCTTAACTTCTGAAAATGTGTTACAGGGTTTCACGACCCTTTAAAATTCACAGTTCAGAAAATCCAGGACAGGTCTCATTTTTTGTCCCATGATGTTGACTACTCGGCATTAGTCCCACCCTCCCACAGCTTTACACTTTCTCAATCAGTGTCTTCATGTGGAATATCCTAAATAATTTCCCAGATGATAGTTACCCAGTCATACTTATTGCCTGCTCACCTTTTTAGGGATGTTTTTGACAGCATCTGCTCCATGATCAAAGCTATAATAAATAGCTCTACTGTCTATGGGTTTGTTCCCTGCAAAAAACTAATTTCAGGGGGGAAGCATCACAACAGTATCACTACATAATGCATAAATAATATAATATAATACACTGTGAGATTACATGCCTCATCACGATGAAGTACATGAATAGAGTTGCTCCTCTGATAGTCAGCCAATTTAAATGACATTAACACCAAAACTTCAAAGCTGTCCTGACTTCTCTTTTTCGTTTGCTTGCTCATAAGCTGTGTTAGCAGGGTTGGTTCATTCAATGGCAAATGTATATCGCCTGACAGCTTGTGAACAAATCACCAATAAAAAGCTCTTAATACTGGAAGCAGGGCTTCTCTCTCACGCCCAGTTTTCAGGATATTGTATATGATTTGCAGGCATTGCATGTAATTTGCCGCTGAGGCTCCTGGGCCTTCTGGGAGAGGTGAAATGTCTGCAGTTCCAGTTAGTTTTAAAGAAGCCATTGTACAGCTTTTATTGAAAGATTCTCATCTTGACCCCACTGTATAGAATAATTACTGATCCATCACCAAATTACCTTTCATCCCAGAAAAAAAAATACTGGAGTATATGCCATTTTCTGTAGTGTGGTGCCTTTTAATTAACAGTGTCTATTAACACAAAGTGCAAATAGGCTGCCTGGTTGGCAGCGGCTATTTACTTCACCTCCGCTCACTAACGTGACAACATTACAAAAGACGGCTGCTGAGCAACATATCCAGTGGCGTAAGTGGTAAGAGCTTTTCCTTAAAAAGATACACTTTCTGCCCAGTGTTTTACTTATTCTTCCCAACCTGGCAACCATAAACACTCTCTCTGGGCTGCTAAAAAGCACTGATGATCTGCAAACCCTGACAAACATGTGTGCTGGAGTTCAGCGATCTCCACTGACATATTCTGCTCGAATTAAACAGTCATACAGTCGCTTGTGCTGTTTGCAGCTACTAAATTTGCAAACAAACCTCAGAAACAAACTGTAATAAATTCAAACATGAATTTTGGCCAAACTGTTTGTGATTGTGGTTGCTGAATAAATGCACTTACCCAACCTTTGTGCTATGTACAAAGTAAACTTTTTAAATCATTAGAAAATACTGGAATTAGGAATTTAACTGTTTTAAACATGTTTTTATAATGTGAATGAAAGAAAGAAGTAGTCACCTGTAGAAGCGCAGGGCGATCTCTGGCTGGTCTGTGTAAAAATGATTGCTGCCAATACAGGCAATGGCCTCCACATGCGTGTTGTCCTGCTTTAACACTTCTTTATAGTATTCTGTGGCTGAGATCATGTTATTCATTTCCTGATGGAGACAGGGAGATTATTCTATTACATAAATATGACAAATTAATCCGAAGTATAATAAATGATGTGAACATTAAAAAAAGACAAATACCAAACAAAAAAGACAAAAACACAGACACCTCATGGATGCGTGCGATTCCCGTGAGCAGCGTGACCTCGGCGGGGAAGTGATCCAAGCCTTGCTTGAACACATTCAGAGCAGTGATGGGCTGATCAAGCCGCTGATACACCTGCGCAGCACAAAGAGCTCTCACTGGGAAGTACTTACAGCAAGCCGAACACAATAAAGCTTGACCTGTCAATGCTACCTTTGCGAGGTAGAGGTAAGTATCAACAAACTCTTGGTGTGCGAGCGCTGATCTGAACTGCTTCTCAGCTTCACGGTGCAAGCCCAATCTACAAACACAATTGGTTCATTGGAAATTGGCATTAACACACAAAGAAACTCTCTACCAAAAATGAACATTAGCTGAAAATGTGCTCATCCTCAAGCCATCTGAGATTAAGATGAGTTTGTTTCTTCATCAGGTTTGTAGAAATGTAGCATTGCATCAGTGTCTCAGCAATGGATGCTCTGCAGTGAATGGGTGCCGTCAGAATGAGAGTCCGAGATGTCTCAAGATGTGATGGACTGGAGTGGTGTGGATTACTTGGGGATTATTGTGATGTTTTTATCAGCTGTTTGGACTCTCATTCTGACGGCACCCATTCACTGCAGAGCATCCATTGCTGAGGCACTGATGCAGTGCTACATTTCTCCAAAATCTGATGAATGAAATGAGTATTATGACGGCACCCATTCACTGCAGAGCATCCATTGCTGAGGCACTGATGCAGTGCTACATTTCTACAAAATCTGATGAATGAAATGAGTATTACACGTGGAAATCTCTTGAAAACTTTTACTGCTTTTTTAGTATAACAGCCACCAAGATGAACTAATGGTGAAAAGTGTTGATTGCAGCATGATATTTAGCTCGACTCCTGTTGCATCACAGTCGTGTCTACTGAGCTTTCTGTACATGAAATAATCACAATATAGAGAACAGCTGGTTTTCACACTACTAACAGGAACAGTGTGACTAATGTCACTAATGCATTAACAGCAGTAAAGCACGTCTGTACATGAGCGCTTGCATATGGTGACAGGACGAGCTGTTCGCGGGGTTCTGATGGCCTGCTCCATAGTTTCTGGTCTACCAGACAGTGTGCTGGGCCTCACAAACCCTGTGACGGGACGCCCCGACTGAGTCATCGGTCTAGGACACATAACACCATTAAATATCTCAATGAGGAATCAACCCTCATATGAGCAATAACTTACACGTGAGGATAAAGGCAAGGATTACAGGGCTACACGACTCAATCAAGCATCACATTATAGTTCATTTGATAACAATTTTTTTCCAAAATCGTGCAGCCCTACTTAGAAAAGCAGAGCCCAAGCACTCCCGTACTCTAATTACTCCAACAGTGCTGCTAGTAATCTACAGCTTCAGGCTTCAGGCGTTGTAGTTTAAGCAGATGAGGCCGCACCTGACCGCTGGAGTGGGCGCTGCTCCCCGACTCGTTCCTGGAAGCCTCAGTGACGTTCCTGGACCTGACGAAACCAAAACATGTGCAGAAGAACTGGAGAAACATACATGTTATACGCATAGTTATGTGAAGCTGTTCACTAGGGCCTACAGACCTGGAACATCTGAGCTGCACTATATACAAATAATCGTGACTTGATGGGCTGAAGTGTAATTAATACTCACGTGCAACCTGCGCGATGGAGCTCTCGTCCAACATCATATCAGCGATGCCTTCCTGATCCACCTCCAGCTCATCGACGTACACCATCTCCGTCAGAGCTCTGGTCTTCAAGCTCCACGCCGCCTGAAACCCATCAGAGCACATCAGCTCCAGCTCCAGCTCCAGCGCAGCAGAGGAGAGGAGAGGAGAGGAGAGGAGAGGAGAGGAGAGCAGAGGAGAGGAGAGCAGAGGAGAGGAGGCTGCTGACCACAGCTGCGTCTACACCGGACCTCACACTCTTCAGCTCAGCTCAGATCAGATCAGTGTGTTACAGTTAAAGCGAGAGCAGGAGGCCACTGCAGGACAGGTTCAGCTCAGCTAACAGAGGGAACACTGGACACATAATATGGGGAATACTGAGAGTAACACAGAGGAACTATTGGGAACATAATTATTATATTATTGTAATAGGGAGCAGTTGATGAGCTTCACGAAAACACTACAAACAGTTACCTCAGACACCCGAGACGCAGCAGGCTGTGTCAGTAATGAAGAGAGAACAGCTCAGCCCAGACACTGTGCAGCACATGATCAATAACACATGCCTGGCTGTACTGAACGGGTTTAACTGAACATCGTCAGATCGTTAAATGTGAGGAAAGTGTAGGAGTTCAGAAAGTGACCGCAGGAACTGTAGTTATAATGCGCTTATGCGCGCTAATCTCTCGCAGCTAGCCGCTAGCCGCTCACTAACCTGGTCATACGGGCTTTCTGACAGCAGCTGTGAGCAAACATCGGCGCATCTCTGGAACCTCCGCCTCCTGCAGCTGCTCCAGGCCAGAAACAGCGGCTCCATCGAGACCGTCACCTCCATCTGCACCGATAAGAATAATACACCGAGAAACCTCACCGAGAACCGAAGCCGCCTGCCCGACGAGCGCTAACCCTCTGCTGACGTCAGCACGCTTCACGTTACCCTGGCAACGCAGAGGCGGGGCTACAGCACGCATCACGTTACCCTGGCAACGCAGAGGCGGGGCTACAGCACGTGCGGAACAAACACAACTCACAGGAATATATTGTAAGCCAATTTTACCTTGTTATTATTCTAAATCCCTTGTAACAGTTTTTTTTTGTTCTTGATCATTGATAAAGGCTATTTTTCATTGTAATAAATCGATGTTTTCAATAAAAAATAAAAAAATAAATAAAAATATTGTAAGCCAACATTTTAAGAAATACAACAATCCATTTGAAGAAAAATCTGTTGCGATTCAAAATAACACCACAGTTCTTTGGTAATTTGGTAGTTTTTTTTTTTCATTTAAATGTTTAGTTTTGAAATGTTGTTGTATGCATTTGTCATTTTTATTTAATTTCTTTTATTTTCTTAAATGTGTATATATATATATATATATATATATATATAGTATTTATAGAGTTTTAGCTTTTAGTTTTAATTACTTTTTCTTATTTGTAAGTCGCTTTGGATGTGTGTGTGTGTGTGTGTGTGTGTGTGTGTGTGTGTGTGTGTGTGTGTGTGTGTGTGTGTGTGTGTGTGTGTGTGTG